TTATTCCTTTGGAATGATTCTTCTATCATTATATTAGAACGATTCATTTCATTCATTTAGAATAATTTTTTTATTGTTCTTTCAGAATAATGATTCAATTATTTCTTTAGAATAATAGTTTTATCATTTTGATAAAATTATTCTTTTATCATTCTATTAAAATAATGATTTTAATCATTCTTTAGAATGATTTTTTATCATTCTATCAGAATGATAGTTACAATTGTTCTTTTAGAATGATTTTGTTATCATTCTATTATTCTATATGAATGATAATTTTAATCATTCCTTTAGAATAATTTTTTTATCATTCTATCAAAATAATAGTTTTAATCATTTTTTTAGAATGATTTTTTATTATTCTATTAAAATGATGGTTATAATCATTTTTAAAATATTTTTTTATCATTCTATCATTCTATTAGAATGGTGGTTTCAATCATTTCTTTAGAATAATTTTTTATCATTCTATCAGAATGATAGTTTCTTTAGAATGATCTTCTATCATTTTATTAGAATGATTTTAATCTTTTTTTTGTAGTGATTTTTTATTGTAAAATTGCAAAACTCTTAAAGAATTGCAAATTTTTAGTAAATCTCTAGAGAATTCATGATTATTTTTATAAAAGCAAATGACTAAATAATAAATTAAAATATTCTTAAATTATCTTAAATGACGTTTATTATTTATTATTTGTTATTTAGATCATTTGTGAAATGATAAATGCTAATGATTTATAATTATAATAAAAGAATAAACAAATCATTTAAATAATCAAATGATTAGATCATTACCAAATACTGCATTTTATTAACTATACCTTAAGTTATTATAATAAATCAATACAATATCACACAAAGTTAATAAATAACTTAAATATACAAACAAGTTAAAGGATATATTTTTACTTAATTAATTATACTCTTTATTAATATTATAATAATAGTAAATTCTTTACCCGAAGGTATCTAGATTTAGTAATATTTATATATTTGATAACTAATAAAATGAACTAAACTAAATATATCAAAAAAATTAAAATTGACATATTATTAGAAAATAAAGTTGACAAAATTGATCAGCAGATGATTATGACAATAAAGTTGCCTAAGTTGCCTATTTCACTAAAAATTAAGTTGATATTTGGATCAATATTAATCTACATTGATTATCAAGAAAAACTAAATTAACATTAGGATTTATAAGATAAACTGTAAGAAAATAAAATTGACATCAGGATCATCAATCAAATCTTAACCAAAATTTACAATTTACTTAAAAGTCTAATTTATTATTTATATGATCATATTGATTGTATATCAAAAACTATACATGAGATACATATTATGTATCCATTAATAATTATATTTGGTAAATTTAAAATATATGCATATACATGTGAGTATTTTATACATTATGCATAAAATACAATGAATTCACAACAGTTTTTATTTTTTAAATATTAACAAATAAAGGATAGTTAACATCACCGGATCATGTGATAAATTCGTCACGCCTAACATGTTTCATTTTTACTATTTAATCTGGGAACTGGTGTAAAACCTATTTGTCATGGTGTGGCATTGTGGTGTGGCATTGTTAATTTACTGGACTTAGGATCGTGGATTAGGTGTTATTATAATATCACATGATTCGGTGATGTTGACCACTATAAAAATTTAATAAACCATTACGGTTTTCGTTATATAAAGTCACGAGATAAAGAAATTTTACAATAAAAAAAATCCATGAATTTTTGTAAAAATTGAGGCGGCCGGGTCTCGAGAATCTAAAAAATTTTTGTCTTCAAGTTTTTTTTTTTGAACCATGTACTACTTTAGCAATAAGATTAATACAGGATAAACTTTATTTATTAATTTCATATTACTGCTTAATTCTTAAAGCAGTATGCTGGATACGGTACAAGTCATTAATAAAGTTGATACCAATTAAGTTTGTCGGGATTATTGGAACATATGTAAGTGGGATAGGAAACGGAGGTCCCAGAAAACTTCAAATATAGGAATAAAGATCTGAAAAGTTGGCAAGTTTGGCGCGTTACAATCAGTAGGATCATTAACAGTATCATTTGAATTTTTTTTAGCATTCCCAAAATCCCACCGCTGTACTGCTATCCCTTGGTGGCAAAGTTTTGCCTAATATATAAAAATTCAGAATAATTAGTAATGCTTAACTTGACATCATTGAATATTAAGTAAGGTATACCAGTTGTAGATCCTCGTATATTTGTTCTTGGTTCTAAATCTTGATACTAACGACAGCACGGTCTTGCATCCAAGTCAAGCACTTTTGTCTCAAATCACACACGATCCGTGCATGAGGATTTTCCTACATAACCCATAATAATAAAAATCAAATATAAAACATAACAAAATAATATACATCAAACTCAACATACATCAATATCACTGGAAGGTCGAGGGATTACAGTGGTAATGGAAGGTCTTGATACAAATGCTATATCTGGACGTACAGCAACATCAGGAGCTATTTTAATCCCTGTATCATCAGGATTATAGTGAACTATATGAAAAGTCCATAAGATATTGAAAAACCAATAACAAGAAATAGATTCACCTACGAGGTTTTCCAGTGACATCTATTGGAGGAAAATCAACAGCCCATTATTAGGTACATTAAAAAATGCTTGAAGTCGGTAAATAGCATTCTCATGTACGGATGAGGCCATACCAATAATATACACGTTTCCAGTTTTATCATCATCGTTTAAATAAAACCAGAATTTGTATCCAGATGACCCGTGATTGTCAAGGAAAGTGTTATAATTTTTTATCGTTACTTTCGAGCCAATTTGGAAAGGCCAACTGCATTCCATACAAAGTCAACATTAGGTTGTTAAGTTAAAAGGTAATACTCCCATACACCCACCTGCTCTCTTCTAACATTTTTTTGGTAATTTTGGATAATTATGTAAAAATTCGTTAAATCTATCCAAATTACGAGACATTTTTAAGTGTAAGTGAAAGAAAAATGTAAAAAATAATGATTAATTGATCAGTTTTATTGTACTGATTGGCTAAAAATAAAAAAAATATAATTCAAGGGGTTGATCACACTTTAATTTTTTATTTAACAAGCTTCTCTTTAATTTTTCAATTACTGACTCAAAAATATACGACGTGAATATATGGGGTCTTTGCAATAGAAAGGGGGGAAACTGCCGGAAAAATCAAAAATGAGATAATGCTAAATTTGAACATATTTGGCATATAAAAGTAAAATTGATTTTTCCCGGCAGTTTCCCCCCTTTCTATTCTTTCTATTGCAAAGGCCCCATATAGTATATATGTTTTTAATTTTATGGTTGTAACGATTTTTTGAAAGATGCCGCGATGACTACGGAGATTTTTTTTTTTGTTAAAAGGTAACGACTTTTTTACTTTTTTTCTTTAAATGGTAGCGAATTATCTTTTTAAATCGTTTATTATAATTTTGGCAAATAAATTTTTTGGTATGATTAATATTATATTAAGAATCAAACCCGCACTGTCAAATGATTGGTGTTGTTTAATAATTAATTTTTTAATTGTCGTTTGCATGAACAAAAGTTTAAATTTCATTTTCAAGCGAAGAATATTGCTTTTTTGTTTTCACATTGAAAACAAATACATTTTTTATATATTGTGTAGAGTAGCGAATCGAATATTCTCTTTTGAAAGAATGTATGGTTTTAGTAAAAAGATTGTAGCTTGCTTATATTAATTTCCAGAACACACTGAATATTCAACACTTATCCTAGGGCATAATCACATCAAAAAAAAGAATTTTAAGTTTACAAAAATAAAGTATTTATGAAATTTATCTTTGGTATTCGGTTCGATAAGATAAAATTAATTATTTTATCCCCACGGCGTGGTGGCTTATTGTTTCTATAAAATATCAGAATTTTTTGGTTGAAAAAATCGGACAGATCAATAATGAAAGATTATTATTCTCTTACTAAAACTAGTAAGATGGACAAGCGCCATATGTCTCGGAATGCGTCATACATTTTAATGTTAATAACGTGGTGGACAATTGCGATTTTTAAACATGCATGAAAAAATCATCAAAGTCGTTTGACAACTTTTTGTATAAATGGGACCTTAAGGAGGAAACTTCCGAAAAAATCAATTTATCTTTATGCCAAATATGATTTCAGAGCGAAATATAATATGTTCATATTTAGAAAAAAAATTTTTTTTTATTTTTTCCGGCCCTTTTCTATTGCAAAGGTCTTATATCGTTGTTAATAACATGAAATATTTACGACATGCATTCGAACTTGATTTTTCCTAAATATGGACATTCTTTACATTTTTCTATGGTTCATATCAATAAGAGCCATACGCCCTTTCTTGAAATTTATGTATTATAACTGATATCTACAAAAGACCCGCAGTGATATGTGCTTCGTTTGATCACGTGTTATTTTTGACAAATATGTCAAATAGAACAAAAATATGACATTGTTGATCGATTTAGTATGTTTGACATATTATATTTGTTATATTTAGCATATAAATATTATTAGACATATTTATCTTATTATATTCTTATAGTTTATTTTATATAAATAGCATGTATTTTTCCTTGAGTTGAAAGATAGGGTTTTGGGAATAAAGATATTTGTTATTCATTTACTATAAACCTTTTGCTGTGTCTTCATACAGGCGTGATTGTGATAAAGTAATTGTATTTAATTCGAAGGACTGAATTAAATCATCTAAGTTTATTTCCAGCTTACCGGCTAACATCGCATCGTTACGATGATGATGAAGGTGAGATAATAATAAAGTCAAAGATGGATCGAGTTTTAAGATTGTTATTAAGATAATTAACTCGAAAAATGTAGCAAAAAAGAAAGAAAAATGGAAAGGAACAGAAAAACAAAGAGAGGAGATTATTAAGAGATTTTGATATACTGTATATATATATATACAGTATGTAATATCATAATTTTTGTTTTTATACCATCATGTCTAATCCTTTTATATTTTTCCGTCAAAAAATTCAAGAGGACAACGTTAAGAAACTCGCGAAAAAGTGTTCTTTAGGCAAGTAATAAATTTAGCAAACAAATTATTATTGTTTTCATAAATATGTTAGTTTTTAATTTTACATTTAGCTCCTATAGCTCTTCCAATTGTATTACAAAATCCACAGACAGCTAAAATCGTCCTCTATTCAATCAAAAACAATAATGAAATGCCCGCGCTATTTTTTGATTAGAATAATTAGCAACGAATCCAAATTGTCGTAACGGAATTGCAGGTCAGACGCAAGTGGCAATAGTTGCGAACTTGGTTGCAAATGGAGCAGTGGACTATGGGAGTATAGACGAGAAACGTTAAAGCCAATATACCATGGTATGAGATATTTGTGTGGTTTTGATAATAGATTAATCTGATTCTAAAGTCCTTCCTTTATATTTTTTTTTTAAAGGGAAAAATATCAAACTGGCGTGCTGGACGTTTGTAATGCGAAATCAAAATTAATAGGGTATCTCCAGACACAGGAAAGGTTCATCTCGAAGATTTTCTAGTTGTCTTTGAATAAAGTAAAAGATGAACTTTTTACTTTTTCAAATATGCATTGTAATTTTTTTAAAATATTTGTTACGTACTTTATAATTTTAATATATCAACAAATGTATGTTCATTATCATCTGCTTTGATTTTAAATATTGATTCAATTAAAAAATTGAATAAAGTTTATAAAAAAAACAAATAGACAAAATTCAACTAATCTTTTGATTTCGTAAAACCACCCGAGCCATTATAAGCTTCTTTATCATTGAGTTGCAAAAATTCAAATGATTTTCTGTATATGGTCACATTCATCCTTTTCTGCCATCTGTTTATTCAAGCCAGATAATTGATTATTGGATAGCATCTTGTCCGCTGGGTCAAAATTTTTGTCCTATTGAATTGGAATTAACTTGAATTTAGTATATTGGTAATAATTATAGAAAATTTAATAATGTTGAACAAAACCTAACTTGAAGAATATTATGTAAGTTATACACATAACTTTCAAGTCCATTTCGTGTTATTTTTGAACCTATCTCATCATCATCACGATTTTCATGATTTTGACATAATTGCATGAATGATTTCAAATACAAAAGCATTTGATTTTTTCTTGACAATCAGTCTGTATTATTTGTAATAATCTTCTTATTTAATAATCCAGCTGTAGCAGATACTTTAAAATTAAAAAAAAAGGTTTTTAAAAAAATTTTAAATATTACCATGTTTGAATCCCAAATACATACTATACAGTTTGCATCAGGATCAAAGTGACTTCGATTTGTTGAATGCCTCTTTGTGTTAGAGGAATTTCAATATTCCAAGTAATTGATGTCTATAGTCTTAACTCGTTCACCTTCAAAAATTTGAATAAGTACTCCCAGTTGATTATCAGAATTTGCAGAGAAAATATTAGATTCCTAGTAGGTATTATTATATTATGCTTGATAAGTTTTGTCATGATTGAACTTGAGACTTTAAGCAAGCATTACTAGATAAGTTATAAGCTTAAATGGTCAGAATTTATGGATTTGTGTGTTCTATACAATTGAAGAATTAAGATATCATCTTTTGAATCTCTGAAATAAATATTGAACTACCGACCGAATCTTGACTTATGTTGAATCTACATGTTAAGGATATATTTAAATCAATGTTTTTCAAATGGAGGATGAAAGCTTTTAATACTAGAAGTGTACGAGTTGCACGTTCACATGTGTTTCTTAACCGTCAGAGAGCACATTTATTGTTACAAGGTTTTTCTTAACTTTTGTTTAAATTCCTGAACAATATATAATTTTTCAAAAAGATTATAGAAACCTTCACATCTAAGATTTGTGTAGTATTGTTTGCAAATAGAAGACATTATAAGTTGGATAGATAGGCACACCACAATATTGAGCAGATTATGTCATATTCGCAAATATTCTGTCTAAGAATATATGCATAAGAATGCAAAATGTTAGGTGAGGCAACGATGCTTGTTCAAAAATGCAATCTTGAGCATTTGAACTTCCATTAATTATACCCATAAATGTCACGTATGGATATATTTTAGTATTGTAAATTATAAAATATAACATCATGTTATTTCAAGATAAATTAAAATAGTGTTGACATCGACATCAACAAAAGGTTATAGGTGCTGATGGAAGATAATAATATTAAAAATATTTATATAATAATAATGATATCATGTTATATATTTTCTTTGAACAAAAACTGTGCACGTTTTTTTTTGCATTTAGGTACTTCAGGACCTTTGCCTCTGGTTCTTATTTTCCAATTGTAATAGGAACGACTTTGCGAATTCCCATGCTGAAGATGAGAGATATCATTATTGGAATCTTTGTATAATATTCGTCTTTCATGGGATCTTTTGAGTATTCGCATAGTAATTTGTCCTCATGAAAATAGTTAAAGTTTGATTGTAAAATAAGTCTTAGAAAATACTTATTTCTGTTGATGGAGTATTGATTATGCTATTGTGGATTCATAGCTTAAACTTCAAAGGATTCCGCTTTATTAGTTACTATAACTAAATATCAAATGTTCTGTTTTTCGGCAGTCTTCTTATCCAACCCATAAGAATTAACTGCAGCAGTTGCTTCATCAACTATATTAATTACATTCAAACCGGCAATTGTGTCAACTTTAAATATCTAAATTGTAAAAGTACGTTAGCGTGAAATAACAATCAGACAAATGAATGAAATTCAATTTTTTTTTTTAAAAAAAAATTATTATTTTTTAGACAATACATCCTGGATTTAATGTCATGATTGTAAAATTACGATCTATAGGATATTTAGCATTAAAGATAATATTATAGTAATTTGATTTTTTGACTGCATTACCGATAAGACATTCTATGTTATTGAACAATTAAAAGTGTTTTATGATTACCCTAGTAATTGAGAATAATTTCAACTCTATTTATCATCTTGAGAAACACCGATAAGAATAAGTCTTTCAAAAATCAGTCATTGTTGTACCTAATTTCAACTTGATATATAAATATTCTAAAATAAAAAAGAAGACCTATTTTAAAAAAAATTTAATTTAAAACTTACGATATACAGTACAAAAATAGAAAATAGCTTAATTCTTACAAAGAAAATGAAACTCCAGTTAAATTAACAATTTAATGCATATGAAATTAAAAAAAAATGTAACTCTTTTTATCCTCAATTAATAATAATAAAATGGCCAAGCTTTCTTTTCATGGCAGCATTCTTAAAGATTTACATGCTCACGCTTCAAGACAAAGTCAATTATTAAAAATTTTACCTTCGATAATTATGCGATTTGGAATTAATAATATATAAAAAAATATTTATTATTAAAAAAAAATTTGATTTTGATCACAATTGTTAATCTGTTTGCTTTGCTTTTTTTTTTCTTAAAAAAATTTTTTTTTGTCAGTTTTCATTTATTTTTTTTTCTTATAATTTTATATATACAAGACATTAAAAGAGGCATCGCAAGTGAGATATCAGAATTAATGCTAAATTGATGGCAAAAAAAGTTACTTTCGTGAAATGATTCATAGTATAATGAGGCCAATAAGTAAATTCTATGATCCACTTAAAAAAGTTAAACGAGATAATAAGTTGATTAAAAATTACGTAAAGGAAAAGTAATAGCATTAAAGAAAATATTTTCTAATAAAGAATAAAAGAAGCATATTAATGATAAGTGTAAGTTATTGTATTAAAATTATAATTTATAGTAAATTTTACGGATTTATCAAGGAAGAATTAATGTATATGGTAATAGAATAGTATAAGTATGAAAACCTTAAAGAATATTATTCACAGATATAATTCATCGATAGAAGAAGAGGTTTCTTGTTTGTGTTGTATCTGATGGTGAAGTTAGTACTCGTTATGGTTCTTTTCTTATGCCTGAAGGTTCTAAAGAAGCATGGTGATAAGCATAATAATTTCTTATTTTTTTATTGAAAAATTGTTTTTAAAAAAAATCTAAATCAATTTTATAAACGGAAACATGTAAATTCATTTTACAATTTATTACCAGCGTTAAAGTAATCCATGTTGTGATTGGGTGAATCTGGTATCAGTTATTATGTTAAAATGTCTACAACAGTATTGAATAAGGTGATATGCAACTTATTTGCAAAGCATATCATTTAGAAAGAAGGGCTCGATCTCGTTCATGATAAGATTGCTGATGTCTTTATATATTGGGACAAAGACAAATTGGACTCCTTTGATTGATATCATTAAAGGTATCATGAGAATTAAGGTCAAAAATGATATATCCTTAGTTGAAAATATTAAGGACACTGCTAGTCAAGTAAGTAAAATATTTAATTCATAATTTTAAAATATATTATGTTTATAATTTTTTTTTCTTTTTGTAATTATATGCACATTTGGATCACTTGATTGGCATAGTGTTATTAATGACCTCAGATTATAATATAGGGAAACAGATATAGCCATTCTTATAATACTACGTATGATAATGTTTTTCAAAACCGTTGGTCCAGCAGGAACCTCAAAATTTTAATCGATAGAAATAAATTAAAGTAGTGTAAATTGCTCCTATGAAAGCTCTTGCTGCCAAATTTATAAAAAAAGCTTGGTGATCAATTAAAGTAACTTAATGTGTGTCACAATATAGATTTGTTTTGATTTGGTTTCTCGAGTCATATGAGCGTGATTTTGTAGGCAGGTGTTGGATGTGAAAAAGCCTTTTTATGTCTGCTGACTCGCTGTTATGCGTGATGAAGTCAGAAATAGATGGATGAATATACGTCTAATAATAAAGTCAATGCACAGGTGTCTATAGAAATATTGCAGTAGAACATTTTCTTCATTTTGAGCAGGAGGATCTTGTAGCATTTTAATATATTGAAACTTAATGGTCACTGATATTGCATATTTACGCACAGGCTGGTTATATTGAGAACCACTTCCGAAAAATGTAATATGCTGAAAATACGCATCCTCAAATTGTACACCAAACTTTACAACCCCCTTCATGATAAAATTAATTATATCTTGAAGAAGTGGAATTGTCTTATTAAGTTTTAAAGAGCACTTCTGGTGGCAAGAAATAAAGGAAAGTATTGAACTCGTTTCCTTTATCTTTTTTTCAGTATATGAGACAGAATCAAAAACTTATAGACAAAGCCTGCATTGTCTTTTTTGACCTCATCACATTTTTGGGATAAGAACATTTCAGCAAGAGCATTACGATGAAAATATTGTTGAGAGGGTGTAAGTTCATTAAAATAAACTTGTGCAATCTAAAAAAAATCCTGAATCTGATCCTGGTTGAATTGGTTCAATACATTGGTAGGATTCTTGTTGCTGAATTTAGTGCTAACGTATTTTGTCATATTTATGAGCTCACGTGGAACGTGATTTGTGAGATACTTAACCCTTTCTCTTATCAATTCTCTTGACAGGATAGGGTTCATCTGGAAGCAAATTTATCTACTAGACATTTTACAGGAAGACATATTGGTCCAGTGCAAATTGGTCGGAAGATAATTTGGTCAAGGGACAATCGATCTGCAAAAATCTAATGTTTTACAAGCAAATTAATATTTTAAATGAATGAAAAACAATAGAATTGCGAAATTATTGCGATTAATCAAAAAATTTTTCTAAGGAAAAATTGGGGAAATAATCAAAAGACTGCTCTTATACTTCGTTTAAAAATCCACAACTTTATACCTTCAATTCAAGAGGACAATACAATTCGTCGAGGGGCTAATCAAATCCAGGCAAGTTGATCACTGACCATAACAAAATCCTCATAATAGAACAAAATATAATAATAATAATAATTGCCAAATTAAAGTAAAAATGACCACAGAAAAATTCATTAAAAAAATCTATAATTGGAACGACAAAAGGTTATCAAGGAAAAAAAATAGAAATTATCATTCATTACACCCCTATAAATAATCAGTATAAGGAAAGTATATGGAAATAATACGTTTAAAAAACGTATAAAAAACGTAGAAAAACAG